AGTCGCATGGTGCAAGCTGCTTGCTGATGCTGCACTTTGACTCATGACTGTGACTCTGACTCTTGACTACGGTACATACACCAAGATGCTCATCACGGATTTCATACAAGCCATGCTGCACGCATACAGCATTAAAATTATCATTAGCGATCGACCAACGCGCGCCAATCTTCTTCCCGCGCGAGCGCGACGCGTTTCGATCGGCGGTGCTGGAGGAGCGTCCAGCACGGCAGAAAATTCGCTTACAGACCACGTGCGTTTCGGGGCAGGTGGAGGTGTGCTGTCACGTGCCGCGACAGATGAGGTTGAGGTGCTGTGCGCACGGCCGCACCATATGTGAAGCAAGCATACAGCCAGCCATCAGGCGCAACACCGCATCAGCTCCTGAATGCGAGACTCTTGTGACTGCCTGACTGTTCGAGACCCCCATCATGACCCTGAACGTGAAATAGTCCGACTTTCGTATCCTATCAGGCAAACTAACCCAGCCCGAAAAGAGAGTCACTTGGCCTGCAGTACGGGCCTTCTCACTTTAAGACCGCTGGTAGAGGGTGAGATCTACAGGGTTAGGCGCATCTGGTACACGAGGAACTTGGGACAACCTCCCTGCCCAGCCTTGCACAAATCATTCAGCTTTCGACCATGGCGAGCTATGTCCTCTCTCCAGCAGCTCACTTCACGCTTCTAGCGCATGTCGGACTCCATCCGACATCGGCAGTCCTAGGCCTATTGCTCGCATCATCGAGTACCTCGAGCGAGTCTGTAGAAGTCACACGCGCACTGCCATTAGTGCATCACTGGACCGCTCTGACGCCTCAACTTGACGTGTCCATCGCACTGGCAATACAGCATGTCAAAAAGACCGGATTGAAAATTGTGGGATTGTATGCTGCAAACGAGGCGACTGGAGATGAGCTTTCGCCGATGGTGGAACGCATAGCAAAGGCCTTGGCTAGCAGTACTCAGCAAGCCGATGTGCTGGTCGCAGTGGTGAGTCGAGATCAAAAGATGGTTGCACGCGGCGGGGGAAAGCTGGCCTACATGCAGTGTAAAGTCTAGAGCCGCTTGCTGACCACGCAGAATCTTCCAGCTCAAGCCCAGAGCGCTTCCATCAGGTGCTCACCTGACAGGCTACCGAGTAAGCGCTTCAAACACCGGATCGAAGCAACTGGGCCTGAATGCAATCGATACGGGCGCAGAGACGCGCACAGTGTCGATTTTGAGGAGGTTACAGGCAGGCACTCAAGATGCCAAGATCGCTGCGAGCGACTGGGATGGTCAGTACACGTCGGCTGGAGCTTATCCTTCTTCAACGCTGACTCGGCCTTGTCCTGGTTTGTTGCTTCACAGACCATCTGGAGGACACGTCGATTGATTGGCTGGCGCCTCTTCCTACAGAAGTGACTGCCGGCTTGTAAATATGTACCAAAAGTCACAAGAAGGGAACACGGCCTCGTGACTGCAGCTCGGAACATGGTTTCAATCATTCATCAAAGTCAAGAATCACCAGCAGATGCGATGATCTTTGCAACAAAAGAGTGTGTTGTACGACCAAATGGCGATGGCGAGTAAAGAGAATTAGCACCATCGCGGAAGGATGAACGCTCACAGATCGAGGCGTATTTAGCCCGGGTAAAGGGAAAGAGGGTATGAAAGCGGCGCGCTAGATGTGCAGACGCAATGACGTCCATGAATAAATACCTGCACCTCACTCAGAGCTGACAGCGGCAGCTTCCTGTTCATGAGCGAACCCGCCAGCCGTGCCAAGCTTCTCCTTAGCAGCCTCGATGAGCTCCTTGCTAGCGTCTTGGAAAGCTCTGCAAATCTCTTCTGGCAGCCTATTCTTTCTGAGTTCGGGCGCATCGTCGCAGCTGACAGCCAAGCTGAAATCGTCGGCATAGGAAATCATGCCGCACGACAAGCTGCTCTTTCCCGGACTCGAAGGCGGCAGGACGTGATAGGAAAAGGCCTTGTGTTGGCCGAACTCGACGGGTTTGGGGGGTCCAGGTACGTTGGTAGCGACGTGGTACTCTCTATAAGTCTTCTCGAACGCCCATCCCAGACCAAAGTAGTTTGGAAGGTAAAAGATGCGATGCTTGGAAGCTGTTCCGAAAGATGAAAACCAAATGCGAGGCCACCAGCTCCGCTTGATCCTGTTCATCTCTCGGTGGACTTGTTGAAGCTGCGCGTCGAACGACTTGTCCTTTGGATCGTAAAAGGCGAACCATGCCACTGCGCCAGTGGTAAAATTGTTGAGCGACCAATTGCCTTGCGGTCTGACAGAGATGGGAATGAACACTGCTGTGCGTTTGTCCTTGACTGGCTTTGGCTCTGTACGATCAGCCGCCAGTCTCAGAGCGCGGGACAAGATGCCGCAAGCCACGTCGTTGAGGCTGAGGTTTACTTTATCGTTCGAAAAAGCCTTTCGAATCAATTTGATGTCCGACATGGCAATGCCGTCCGAATGGTAGTACAGGCGGTTGGGTGCACGATTACCAGGTCCTGCAGCATTTGCAGGCTTCCCATACTCAAAGACTTTTCTGGAGCGCATCCACAGGCCACGAGCAGTGTGGAAGCCATGCTTTGTTGTGCCCCAAATCGAAGGCTTGATGTTTCGCTGACCCGGCTTCTTGACCTTGCCGCTGCCAGTCTTTCGGTCAAAGTACGCTTGTACCTCGGACACTGGCTTATCCATCTGCATCGCACCGAGTGCAGAGTGGTAGGACATGATCATACCTTGACCGTCCGAGAAGCAGTGGTGCACCTTGACGATCAGCGCAGATTTTGCCCCTTCCGAAGTTTCGATACCTCGCACAACTAGAGCATGCCAGACAGGTTTTGCAAAGTCGAAATGCTGGCCAAGGAACTTGCCCGCCTGATCGAAAAGCGCCTTCTCGTCCTTCGCGCCGCCAGGCAACGAGTCAAGAAAGGTGATGTTATCGCGCGTCTCAAAGTGGTCATCGTACACCCATCTGGCAGGTCTGAACAGACCGCCCGCCTTGATACCGCCGCTGACGTGCGATCGTCTGCCCCTCTTCTCCTGTTCTGTCGGCGTCTTCCTCGCTACGATTTCGCCCCTCTTCTCGGCTTTTCTGCGCGCTCGCTCATCAGAGCTTGCTTTCCAGGGACTCAGCTCGATGCGGTACCTGTACTTGGGATAGCTATCCGCCAGCTTCTCAAAGAATTGAAAAATCGTCTCGTCGTCGATGACCGTCTTGAAGAGGTACATGGAGTAGCAAGCGGTGGAGTATCCGTCATTCTCCATCAGCAAAGCAAGGTTGTCGATGCCCGTGAATGGAATGACCCTGCCGCGAGGGTCGAGCGGATGGGAGGAAGTTTGGCGACCCTTTTCACTGCTGGATGTGACCGCAGCTGCGCCTGCACCAGCGAGTGCACCAGCGCCTACAGCAGCACCTGCTGCAGTCTTTTCTGCGTCTTTCTCTGCCGACTTTGGTGCATCGGTAGCATTGTCTGCAACAGTCTTTTCATCGCTGGTCTTTGCCTGTGGTGGAGGAGGTCGCTGCTCGGCCGAATCGCTCTCTCTCGGCTTTTCCTGAACAGGTGGCTGCTCAACTTTCTGCTCGACGGGCTTGGAGACTCTTTGAGAAATCCTCGCGCTTGACGGCGCCTCTGCTGGATTCTGGGATTGGGAAGCAGATCGAGAATGAGACTTTGAGCCAGCGCGAGAGTGGGCGGGAGAAGAGGTGGGACTGGATGCTGTGGATGATCTAGCTGCCATCTGCGCTCTGATCCTAGCTCCCTGCTCAGCGGCCGTGCCTCTACCATGCGTGGGCGACGAAGACATGATGGCGCTCAACTTGCAAAGGGTCTTTCTTGCAAGGTGACGTGTCGCGATAGGAGGCCTATGGTGGAAAGATGATGGGAGTTGGGGAAATTTTGCAGCAAATGGCTTAGGCACACATCAGGTCACCGTCGTCCGCTTGGGTGGGTCAAAGAAGTACTCAACGGCTGATCGCCATCCGGTATTTGAGCAACATGCTCCCTCTCTAATTCCTGCTGCAAACTCGCTCCTGAAAGTTTAGGCCGGATAGGGTGGAGGTTCCGATCCGTGCAGTCACCACTCACCACTCAACCAGTCACCTCTG